CCACCTGTCAGGATCGTATTTATCTCTCAGGTGTTTGGGTCAAAGCTTATTTATGAGTTATACAAACCTGCAAACAGAACACGTCTGAGTAAATTCATTCAAGTTATCCAGAATCTGACTGAAAACGTGACCTTCTAGCAAATTGAGCAAAAGATTAACTCCAAACATCTTCCAGGAATGCCGTCGATGGTGAACATTAACAGACTAACGAGATTTAAATCCGACTCAGCTAAGATGAGACCAAAAGGAATCAACCAATCAAAAGGCAACAAGAGACTCAAGTCGACTCAAACTTCTGTCTGAGTTCACGGAGATCATTTTTTAAAAAGCAGATCCACAACTTGTGTCTAGAATCTGACAGCAGACTGTGAAGCCGACAGCGTTCCTCCGCTGAGCCGCTGTAATTATCCTTTCACGAGTCAACATTCCTCGACAGCAGCTCGGACGAACCGAGACACAGACGGAAAGTTTGTGCTCGAAGAAACGAGGATCTGACGTGATAAGAAAAAACGGTCCAGTTCCATCTGGATCCATCAGGTTCCTACGTTTCAGTGCAGCTTTTGATGCTCTGAAGCTACTTTCTCGATCTTTTCCTCCCGATAGTTCTGCTTTTACGAGTCGACAGAAGATCGTACGATAAGCAGCGACTCCATCGATGCCCTGAAGCAGACATCAGCGATTAACATGTCAGAAAACACACGAGTTACACTGAGCTGACACGAAGGAGGTTCAAAATATGTAGACATGAAAACTACTGTACCAGATGTAAAATATATAGAAACATATAGAAACAGATTCAGATGAAGGTCAGAGAGAGGTCTCACAGTGCAGATTAAGGAATTTATCAAAAGTTGTTGCATTTATCGAGCATTTCATTTCATTTCTGTCTTGTCCAACCAAAAAATTCAAAGATATTTAGTTTTTTTAATATCATTACTGGGTTTTTTGCCTTTATGTTAGTGCAGTAGAGACAGACAGGAGAGACCTGCAGCACAGGGTTGTGAGTGGGAGTCGAACCCACGACCACTGCATTGTGGAGCTATAGCCCCTGTTCAGCTAGGTGAGCTATAGGGCTACGGCTAACGCTAACGCTAACCCTAACCCCGATATTTAGTTTTCTGTCTGATAAGAAAAGCAGTAAATCCTCTTAATTGTGTCGCTGAATCAGAAAATCTTTCTGAATTTTCACGAGAAAAATCACTAAAACGACGGTTTAATGAAGGATTGAAGTTCAGTTCTGCTGACGGGATGGAACCAGAACCAGTCATCTGGTTGTCGGTACCGACGCCACCGATTTTCTACAAATTTCAGGCCAAAAAAGACTTTTCATGACTTTCTTTTATGACACGTTGATGAGTGAACATAGCGTACTTACCAAACAGTTTTGGCTAAAATGTAAGAAGCTCCATCAGTTTACATTTAATCCAGTTGGCTCAAGTAGGATTTGTCGGTTTATTTACAAGCTAACGCACAAACTTTCTGAACCTTGGTGGAGCCATGTTCTTTAAATACGCCAGAGTTTCTTCTAGTCGTCATGAAGCTGGGATGTCCCAGTTAGGAACGTCTGGTTCCCGATCCAAACCCAATCCTTTAATGTTTCTGCTGATCGCCGATAACGTTCTCCAAGATAATACCTACTCCAGGTATCGTAGATTAGCTGTAGGACCTGGTTGGAGAAAAGAAGAGATGGGAAAACCCAGAGCGTTGTAGTAGTAAAGCTAATAAAGGAGACAGAGACTTCCATGTTGACCTCAGGCCAGAAAACCAGCGATAAATGATGTTGGGTTGCGTAAGTTAGCAATCTTGTATCCCAAAGGAACATCTGAGGATCTTTCTTGTGGCTTTTATTCACATTCCTTATTAAAACCGTCTCACAGTGAAGTTCTTGGGATTGACCCCAGTTCAGTGCCCCAGACATCCCTACAACAACCAAACCATGTTCTACTGCAGCAGTTTATAGGCCTCAGTGGGTCGTCTTTTATGTATGTTCTGACCACAAGAACCGGGTCGTAGAACCTCTTTCACTGTGATGTTGAAGGGAGATAAGAGCCCCTTCTTCAGGGTGGACACCGATCTTCTCAATGTTGGACTCAGATAGAAGTCTTGTCCTTTTTTTAAACATTAAAATTCACTGTACACACCAACATGACAAACCTCCAGAGTTGTGTTTCCAACGAGCCCAAAGAACTGGAGTTCTGTCCAGTAGCTGCTGGTTGTGGTTTGGTGTCAACGTTAACGTCAAAGTTGTTGGATTTTGTTGGAAAACTAAAAAATGGCCGATTAAAGTCCTCAACACGTCCAACATCCGCCTGAAGAGCATCAGACTTTCAACTTTTTGTGTTTTCTTTCTGCAGGTCACGCTGCAGAGATGCCACCGCTCCTCTTCGTCCTCGTCCTCCTCTTCCTCACGCCCGCCTCCACGCTGGACTTCCGGTACCATAGCAACCAGGAGATGGAGCAGTACCTGCTGCAGGTCAACGCCTCCAACCCCGACATCGCTCACCTGTACAGCATCGGCCAGTCCGTCTTAGGTAACGACACACCTGCTGCTACTTCCTGTCCGACCCGCTGCGTACAAATGGGCGAGAATACAGATAGATACAGAGATACACTGTAAAAAATATATTGGTTAACAATTTACAGATTTTCCTGTTTTAATAAATGACAGAAAACAACTGAAATCACATTAATTTACATGTTAACCGTAAAAAAATGTTTTTATAAATGATCATTTTTTTCTTTCACGTTTCACCGTTAAATTACAATATTTTTTCTATTAAACCAACAAAAAAATATAATTTTACAGATAATTGCCATTAGTTGAGAGAAAAAAATATTATAGTATTTTAAGTCCTAAAAAAAAACAACAACATTAAAAATCAGTATATTCTGTTTTGTAAATACTTAGACCAATATTTTCCCAGGCCTGGGATAAATAAAGTATTTTATATTCTATTCTATTTTATTCTATTCTTTCTTTACACAATTTCGAGGTTAAAAATCTAAATCTTATTTTACAGATATTTGCCGTTACATGATAGAAAAATGATGTATAGTGAATGTTAAATCATTTTTTAACTGTTGTTTTACAGATTTTTCCTGTTTTGTTAAATTTCTGATAATATTTAATTTAAAAAAACAACAGGAAAACGTATTAATTTCCAACAAAAAAAAAGAAAAACCCTCAAAATCTACATGATGTGCACATGCAAAACATTTTAGTATTCATTTGACATATTTTGAAAGGAAAGTGTGAATTAAGTGTTGAAAACATGTAAATTATTGTCCTAATTATTGAATTTGATAGTAAAATTACACAATTATTCTTTCTGTATCAGTCAGCAGAAAATATATGTTTATGTGTGACTGTAATATTGTAGTTTTACTGTATTTAAATATAAAACTATATATAATTATTTTACAGATATTTTCACCATATTGTCATGTTTTATTTCTGGTACTCTTGCTGGCAGCTTTTCATAGCTTTTCTTTTATAAATCTTTTTTTACAGTGTGTCTCTGAGCTTGTAAACACTCTGCAGGTTGTTTTTCTTTCTGCACCTGAAGCGTCAGAGTTTGAATTTCACACCAGCAGACGTGTGACTTCACCGGGACGGCGTCCGGTGTCAGTCGCCGCGGTAACCAGGACACTGACGGTGTGTCTGTCGGCGCGATGGTGTGATGCGACTGTTAGCGCCGGTTAATTTAATCTGGGACGCCCTAATCTGGCTAATCACACGCACACACACACGGCTAATCCGAGCTAATCCAGGACGCCAGCTGGCCGCCGTCCAGCCCCGTGTGTTTGTGCATTTCTGAGCGTCGTCTGTCGGTTTCTCAGGTCGCCGCCGATGCTGCAGACCTGCCGAGGCTCGCAGGTCCTCGTTCATTCACGTCTCTGCAGCGCGAGCTACAGTCGTCGTGTTTATCTGGAGACTTGTTGCGCCACAAAAAGTCAAACCTGCAGGCTTGGCTTTGCTGAAAACACAATCCGAGCCTCATGGCCGCCCAAACCCGTCTGTACATGTGGAGGGTTTACATAAACTTTATTATATCTTTATTTTTAGCCTTATTTTGTTTTTCTTCTCTTGCTTCTTTCAGGCCTCATTAGAATCTGGCTGCTGTAACTTATTAAGGGATCAATAAAGTTGATCTCATCTTAAAGCAGCATTTGATGTTTTTTCAAGTTTTATGCTATTGGGAAAAAATAAATAGATACGCTGGTCTGCTGTTTTGCTGTAAATCACAGGTGCAGAGAGTTTTCTTCCTGAAGGGGGCGGAGCCAACGGCAGCTTTACCTGCTCTGAGACCAGCAGGATGCTCACGATCACGGAAAAAATGATTATTTTGCAGCAATTTTAGCTTAAAAAAGTCAAGATTTTCTTTCATTTGCTGAAAAAGAAGCACAATACGGAACCTTAAAATGATTTTTGATAAAAGTGGCTCCGGTGGGGGCGCCGCTGTAGCTCACCTGGTTGAGCTGGCGTCCCGTATGCAGGTTCTATAATCCCCGACGTGGAGGTCACGGGTTCGAATCCCGCTTATAGGCCTTTTCCACAAGTCCGTCCCCCATTCTTCTCCCGACTTTCCTGTTTCTTTCTCAACTGCACTATCAAATGAAGGCAAAATGGCCAAAAAAAGTGGCTCAAGTAGCTTCTAAAAATGCCACTAAAACACCTGAACCAGTAAATTAATCTTTATGGATCAGGAACATTTATTCAAAGTCAGCGATGTGGGACAAATTCTACTCGATTACCCTGATTGAATTTCAAATGCAGCTTATTCAGTACCCGAGGTCTCGGTACCAGCAGTGGTGTCCTCGTATTTTGGTGTTTCGGTGTCATTCACAACACGAGACGCTAGAATTCAGACGAATGGATCGAAGCTGCAGAAGCGTCACTGATAACTCATGACTCTGTGTTTCAGGTCGGGAGCTGTGGGTGTTGGCTCTCGGCGTTCGTCCTCGCAGTCACACTGTCGGCATCCCGGAGTTCAAATATGTGGCCAACATGCATGGAAACGAGGTGAACGCACACACTTATACTACACAGGACGCCTCCCGGTTAACAGGAAGCCGGAGACTAAAGAGATCAACAAAAGCCTTTCAGAGTCAAACTCCCTCCATACAGTCCTTTGTGTGCAGACGACAGACTGTGTGGTGACCTGAATTATTCTGTGATGGAACCGGACGGGCCGCTGAGCAAACAGCCCGACATCACACAACACTGTAAAACAAATGTGTGGTTATGAAGTCAATGGAAGCTACGTTTTCCGCAACAGACAGGAAACACTCTGAATGCAGCTCAAACATTCGTCCAACAGCTGCCACGGCAAAGGAAAGCTAATCTCACATGAGGGTTTCCTCACGAATGTAAATCAGTGCTGTGGAAATGTCATTTCTAAGAGACAAGATTAGTTCAATTTAATGCTCGTCTTTGAAATAAAACTCAAGGAATAATGTCTGAAAGAGATAACAGCTAGCAAAAAGTCATAGATTATCACTAAAATAGCCAGTTAAAAGTAATGAATTAAGGTCTGAAGAGATAGCAGCTAGCTAAAAATAATGGATTAATGTCTGAAAGAGGTAGCATCTAGCTACTAGTCATGGATTATCACTAAAATAGCTAGCTAAAAGTAATGAATTAATGTCTGAAAGAGTTAGCAGCTAGCTAAGAGTAATAGATTAATGTCTAAACGCGATAGCAGCTAGCTAAAATAATAGATTAATGTCTGAAGGAGCTAGCTCAAAGTAATAGATTAATGTCTGAAAGAGCTAGCCACCAGCTACAAGTAATGTATTAATGTATGAAGGAGCTAGCTAAAAGTAATTTACTATGTTGGAAGGAGTTAGCGGCTAGCTAAAAATAATGGATTATCACTACAATAGTTAGCTAAAAGTAATGAAATAATGTCTGAAAGAGCGAACTAAAATTAAGAAGTCAATGTTTGAAAGAAATACCTAAAAGTAATAGATTTTGTCCTGAAAGAGCTAGCTAAAAGTAGTGGAATGGTGTCTGAATGAGCTAGCTAAAAGTGAAGGAACAATGTATGAAAGAGGTAGCAGCTAACTAAAAGTAATGTAATAATGTGTAAGACATTAGCAGCGAGCTAAAAGTAGTGGAATGATGTCTGAATGAGCTAGCTAAAAGTGAAGGAATGATGTCTAAGAGTTAGCAGCTAGCTAAAAGTAAAGAAATAATGTCTAAACCAGCTATCTAAAAGAAACTGATTATGTCTGAAAGAGCTAGCAGCTAGCTAAAAGTAATACGTTAATGTCTGACGGAAGTAGCACAAAGTAATGGATTAATGTTTGTAAGAGCTAGCAGTTAGCTCAAAGTCATGGGATGCGCTAACAGCTGAAACAAAACGTTCTTTCTTAAAGGATATAACGATGTGGGGGATATATTTGTATGTGTTACAAGAAAGAAATTGTATATTTCTATTATATTTATAGTCATGACATTAGCAGAAAGTTGGTCGAGCAGCAGAGACTGAAACATCTCACTGGAGAGATTCATGATCCCCAGGCGATGTATCGTCTGGATCTTTTTGCCTTCGCCTCCTGTAAAAGCTGACATGGATTTTATGACTATTTCTGACCCCGCCTTGCTTCGGTTTGCTGCTGCCTGGCGTTGAAATGCTGCGGGCTGCTTTTTCCTGTTTTGATGAGCTTTCACTGAAAGCACAATACTGGCTGTTTCATCGTATCTCAGAGCTTCCCAGAGGCTGAGATTTTACTTGTGTTGGGTGTAACCGATATGCGTGCAGAGACTCGCTGTTTAAAGTGGGCCACGTGTTGTTTTCTGAAGCTACTATTTACGGATGTTCCTTAAACACCTCCCTTAGGCCGCTGTGCCCAGAGAAGCCTCTAGTCTCCGCTCAGTTACTGCAGCCAATCAGACGCCTGTGAGACCAAACAGGAGTCAGAAATGATTGAAATAAAACTGAGCTGCTCAGAGGCATGCATATGGACCTGTTCAATCTCAGGTGCGATCGACGTCTATTAGCCATAGCATGCTAGCAGGGTTAGCCTTTAAAGCTGAGCAAACATATTAGAATCTGCACAGGTGCGTCGACAATATGGCTGCTTCCTCAGCGCTGACAAAGAGAAAAAAAGGCAGCGTTGCTTTGTGCAGCTGAAACTGGATTTAATGCAAGCAGGCAGGTTTATTTATGCAGCACCTCATCCTACATAAAGGCTATTTAAAGGCAGAGGGTGATTTCATCTATTTATAGGCTTTGCAGGTCACAATCTGGCGATGCAGCATCAGTGACGTATATTTCTTATTGACGTTTAAGCTTTTCTTTTAGTTTTCTCTTCTGCACTGACAGTGCACCGAGCCGTGACCCTATAACTGAGGGTGCAAGTAGTGACTAGAAACAGTTTTTCCTCGAGCAAGCAAACTGCGGGAGGCATTTCCTGCATCAGCACATTCGGCAGGAGTGAGGTCATCGCTGTGGGGAAATGTGTGACAAAACTGAAGCAGCAACAACAGACCAGATAAAGGTGCGTTCAAGGCGTGCAGGATGCAATAAATCGCAGATAATAATCACACTGAAAATGAATAGCGACGAGTTGAAACAATGAGTGTGCAAGCGAATGTGCAGCGTGATGGAAATGGCGAGCGGCCTCTGACCAGCATCTGGTTGCCGCGGCGACAGCGGACGGCCGATGGCGCTGCAAGTGTGCAAAAGTCAATGGAAATGTCCTTAAATAGACAAGTCACGCCTCGACACACACACAGTCAGCAAACAGAGTCGCTGGAGTGTGTCGGTTCAGAGGAAACGTCCTGGGAACAAAAAAAAAAAAAGGCCCCTTTCTCCTCCGAGTCCACGCATCATAACAGCAGGAATGTGCGCTTAATTTGAAAGTTGAAAAGGTGTCGTGTAGCGTTCATTGTCTGTTTCTGGTGTTGGTGCGAGCAGTTCCCAGCAAATAACTTTGTGTGTGACTGGAGTTTATTCCCCGTGAGGCCGCCGAGAGACTAAATAACCTCATTTATACCGAGAGGATGAGGGATTCTGGCAGCCTGATTGTATTATATCTGCTGTTTATATATATATATATATTTTTTATCTCTTTATATTGTCTCGCGCTCCACTCCGGTGGGTTCTTCTGCAGACTGAGGAGACTACGTGGAACAACTGTGAAGTGGCTGAACTGATATGACTAATAATAAAATACGTGATTTGATTTTAAAACATGGGGCCCGCTGTAGAGCAGAACAATAAATGTAAATATAAAAGCAGTTACAGGCTCAGCAGGTTCATCTGCACTAGTAATTGTAGAATGGTAGCGATGAGGTGACAGAAATGTGTTTAAAAAGTCTGAATATACAGTTTAAATAGTTAACTGAAGGTCATGGTTCATGTCTGAGACCAGAAAAGTAATAAATAGTGGAAATATTTAGCTGAAACTAATAGATGAATGTTTGATGTACATGTTTGAAATGGCTGAAAGTAAAGGATTGGAAATAACTGAAACTAAAGAATAAACAGTGGTGGGATCCTTTAGTAGAAAAATAAATGCATTAATGTCTGATAGAGCTAGCTAAAAGTCATGGATTGTCTGAAAGCGGTAGCAGCTAGCTCAAAGTTTAATGTTAGCAGCTAGCTCCTATGATTGGATTAATGTCTGATCGAACTAGCTAAAACTGATGGAACATGTCTGAGAGAGCTAGCAGCTAGCTAAAAGTTATTGACTAATATCTTAAAGTGCAATCTAAAAGGAGTGTGTTTGAAATAGCTAGCAAACAGTACTTGAGTAATGTCTAAACAAGCTAAAACTAAAGGTTTAGTGTCTGAGCGACCTAGCAGCTAGCTAAAAGTACTTGAGTTTTGTCTAAAAGGGCTAGCTAAAAGTCATAGATCATGTTTGTTAGAGCGAGCAGCTAGCTAAAAGTAATGGATTCATGATTGAATTAGCTAGCTTAAGGCAATGTAAAAATGTCTGACAGGACAAATTAAAAAGATTTAAAGTCAGAAAGACCTAGCAGCTAGCTAAAAGTTGAGTTATGTCTGAAAGGGCTAGCTAAAGGTAATAGATCATGTCTGATAGAGCTAGCAACAAGCTAAAAGTAATGGTTTCATGCTTGAATTACCTAGCTTAAGGTAATGTAAAAATGTCTGACAGGACAAGTTAAAACTAAAGGTTTAATGTTGGAGAGACCTAGCAGCTAGCTAAAAGTTATTGAGTAATGTCTGAAAGGGCTAGCTAAAAGTGCTGTATTATGTCCTGAAAGCGCTAGCTAAAGCTAATGGATTAGTGCTGGAAATTCTAGCTAAAACTAATAGAATATGCCCTTTTTTTTTTTTTTTTTTTACAAGGCCATTTGACGATGAAAATATTCATGTGGAAGGAGAAAGAGGAGAGAGCTAAAAGCTAGCAAGAACAGTTGAAACAACAAAACTTTATGGATAAATGGTAACTTGTTTACTTGTATGACAATATTATTCTTTGCTACCAGTGTCGGCTTTTTTAAAATAATTAACAGTGTTAACATACTAAATGAAAAGCCATATCATTGTGTAGACGTTCGTAGTCTCCAGAGGATTCATCCTACTGACTTTGTGAGCTTGATCTTGAACGTTTTCTCTGGTCTTGTACAATATCTGAACACCTTCTGAACAAACCGACAAATAACTTTGTGCGGACATTCGTGGTTCTCAGAGGATGAACCCTTATTAGCGTAGCAGTGGCTGTAGCGTCCACAAACCTTTGGCCGTTGAGCGTGTGCGTGAGCTTCATGCATTCTTCACTCATGTTGTGTTTTTCTCGGTGCTGTTTGTGTTGGCGTCGCCGCTACATCTGGCCTCTGTTAGGAATCATTGGTGTTCGGCGACGCTCGTACGACAGCCGGCAAACAGCTTCACCGTACATCCTCTGCAGAGAATGAAACCGGAAAGTTCAAGTGTGGATGTGTCTGTCGTCGACGCTCAGGTGTTCAGAAATGCCATCAGGTCGTCAGGAATGTGGTCTGTCTTGTTGGAAACTCATCACAGCTGCTGAATCAAGCAGACGTCT